GGGGGGGGGGGGGGGGGGGGAGGGAGGAAAAAAGGAAGGGAAGGAGACAGACTGGAGTGGCTTTGCAAATGCCAGCTATTATTTGTGGTTTTGTCTTGAAGTCTACTTCTAGCTCGTAAGAAGCAGATCTGAGACCTCAAGTAAATGACCGTACAATCCAAAATATTTTGGCAAGCAAAAAGTGTTTGCTGCAGAAGGGTGCACAGTCAGTCAAATCAAGCAGGCAAGCACACCCTGGGTTTTTTATTCCTAATGCAAACGGGCCCTATGCCTCACTCTGAATGGTCAGAACTTGGCCTCACATTCTTACATGATTGACTAACTTAAAGTGGTACAATTGCTAAACAGAATACAATTTTGAGCATCAAGGGCAACCTTGAACTCATGTTTTGATTTCAAGAAGTATTGTCCCTGGAGAATTTTATACATGCACACACACACACACACATACACACACACACACACCATTAATATGACATTAATAGCACATTTATATGATGTATTATCTTAGTTAACTCTTCCATAGACTCAATATATCTCCCACACACAGCAACCTGTTGGGAACACAGGCTCATATCACTCAGCCAGAAGCCAAGCAAGATGGTGAACATGTGCCAAGCAAGGAGTCCTTGGGATGCAGAGGTGTGTGTGTGTGTGTGTGTGTGTGTGTGTGTGTGTGTGTGTGTATGTGTGTGTTTGTGTGTGTGTGCTTGTGTGTGTGCGTGTGTGTATGTGTGCGTGAATGTGTGTGTGCTTGTGTGTGTGTGCGTGCATGCGTGTGTGTGCATCCATGTGTGTGTGTGTGTGCATGTGTGCGGTGGTCGCATTAGTATGGGCACAGATTCAGACCCTTATGCCCTTGCTTTCTTAGAGTTCCTTAATTTCTGTAGCCTCTCTGAATCTAACAGGTTGAAGCCACAGCTGCCAACATCCCATGAGCCTCTTCCAGAATGTGATCCGCATATAAGTGACTTATAAATGCTGGCTTCTTCATGATAGTAAATAGGAGATTCAACTCAGCAGCTGATTCAGCTGTGAGCTGTCAGTGGCTCCACTTTTCGTCTCTACACCTGCCTGAACCTGGTTCCCTTTCCTTAATTTGGGAGGAACGGAATACGGCCACCGATTTGGCCACTGGACTTTCAGTGAGCTTCAGTGCTGGCCCCAGGACCAATACAACGTGGTAAATATTGCAAGTGAGACATGGGATATGCGACAGGGGTCACTTGGGAGAGGACAGGGGACGCAAGGTAGAGCTCTTCAGGGAGCTGGGGGAAGGAAGAAGAGAAAAGGGAAAAGGGGGTAGGAAGGGAAGACCCTTTTGGAGCATCCAGTGCAAAGTGAGGCATAACAGAAGACTCTTCTCACAACTTGGCTCCGGATGGAATGAACGCAGTGGACAATGAAATCAGCTGGGCCATTCTTAATTCCTGAGTGTGCAGATAGTTTCCACCTATGAGAGCCATGGTACCTAGGAGCAATTGCTTTTTTTTTTTTTTTTTCTCTTCTTTAGAAACCTTCATGGTGTCCGAAGACTGAGCTCAGGCCATGGCAGTGACTTATGGACAGGGCTGTGAGTAGGGGTAGTCTATGGGTAGGAATGGGCTGTGAATAGGGATGGGCTGTGGGTAAGGGTAGTCTTGAATAGGTGTGGTCTATGGGTAGGGGTGGGTTGTAGGTAGGGGTGAGCTGCAAGTAGGGGTGATCTAGGGGTAGACATGGTCTATGGGTTGGGGTGGTCTATGGTAAGGGATGGTCTGTAGGTAGAGAATGGACTGTGCTCTTACTTGAAAATGAAAAGGGTGACACTGGAGGTTACTAGGTTGATTGAGTTAGGACAATGGAGCCACAGTTAGGACAACACAGTAGGAGTGGCCCTCATTCTTCATTCCTGATAGATGTTACAATTGCCCGACCCCAGGAGGATGAAGCAGAGTTTAATTGAGACATCATGAGCTATGATTTGAGTCTTGACATTTCTGCTCATTTCTGGGAAACTGGAGTCTCTTGTGAGCACTGACAGCTAGGGCTGACAGCTGACATTTGACCTGCTACCTAACTAGTGGTAGGTCCCAGTGATGGTGAGGGGTCAAAGAGGCATAACAGAAGACTCTTCTCCCAACTTGGCTCCAGGTGGAATGAACTCAGATAGACAATGAAATCAGCTGGGGCATTCTTAATCCCTGAGTGTGCAGAGTGTGCAGATAGTTTAGACCTATGAGAGCCATTTTGTTTAGAAGCAAGGAGTGACTTTAAAAAAAAAATGGCACCATGGTACCTAGGAGCGATTGCCTTTTTTTCTCTTTTTTAGAGCAACAGATTTTCTGTTGTTGGTGAAGGCCCTTGAAGACTGGAGTTTAAATTCAACTGGAAAGTGGTCACTGACATCCAGGGCCTAAAAGGGAAAAATAGAAATAGATTTGGGGGTTAGGGTATGCCTGGGACATATCATGGCCTTAGCAATGACCAAATTCAGGAGTAGAGAGGGAAGATGAAATGTCGGAGGTTATCAGGGAGAATTGATGAGTGTTGCTCTTGGTCCTGCTCCTGGGGAATTTTGGCAGGCCTTCAAATCATAGAATTCTAGGTCTTTAGACTCAAGAGCATCCCTACCACATTTCCAGGCTGGTGGACCAGAGAGACCAGGTGGTAATCTTACCTCCTCTTCAGACAACTGATAAGTTTTCTGGAAGTCAAAGACACCATTTGAATTGGGAACCACGGAGTTGACTATCTCTTGTCCTCGAAGCACAATCCTAGAGAGAGGACAAGGAAATAGATACATTAATTAGTCAAAGCTGTCAACTTCTGAGATCAAAGGGAGGGCTGATCTTGACTCTGGAATTGATTGGGCAGCCTATCCCTTTCGTGTAGTGGGTGTTCTGTGTCCACAACTAAGTTTAGCTTGCCACCTTAACTGGTTAGTTTTGGTAAACTTGTCACCAAGCTAGAACTATCTGGGAAGAAGGAACCTCACTTGAGGAATTTTCTTCATCAGGATGGCCTGTGGGCATGTCTGTGGGGGTATTTTTATTATTAATTGATACAGGAGGATCTAGCCCACTGTGAATGGTACTAGACCTAGGCAGGTGGGTCTGGGCTGTAGTTCAGTTTTGTTTATCAAAATCATTGATAAAATACTCACGAATGAGTGAAGAACTGTAGGAAGTATCACTAGCCCCACTATCAAATTATTCTGCAGAGTTATAATAATAAAACCAGCATGGTATTGGCACAAAAACAGACATGCTGATCAATAAAATAGAGATAAAGAATCAGAAATAAGTCCACACACTCATGGATGCCTGATTTTTGATAGAGAAGCCAGAAATATAAACTAGAAAAAGTGGTAGTATCTTCAACAACATCATCAGGGAAATGCAAATAAATGCTACTTTGAGATTTTATCTTACACCTGTCAGAATGACTGAGAACAATAACACAAGTGGCAGCTCATCCTGGTAAGGATGTGGAGTAAAGGAAGCACTCTTCCATTGGTGGTGGAAGTGCAAACGTGTTTGCCACTATGAAAATCAGTGTGGCAGTTTAATCAGAAAGATGGGAATTGAACGGAAAATCCATCCATCAGCTATGTTCATTTCTGCTCTATTCATAATAGCCAGAAATTGGAAACAATCTAGATATTCATCAATGGTTGAATGGATAAAGAAAATGTAGTAAATTCACAGAATGGAATATTACTCAGTTATTAAAAAGTGAAAATTTGTGATGGGTGGTAGTAGTGTACACTTATAATCCCAGCATTTGGGAAAAAGAAGCAGGCAAATTACTCTGAGATAGGGGCCAGCCTGGTCTACAGACTGAGTTCCAGGATAGCCAAGTTTACACAGTCTGGAATTTTTTTTAAAAAGAGAGAGAGAGAGAGAGAAGGGAAGGAAGGAAGGAAGGAAGGAAGGAAGGAAGGAAGGAAGGAAGGAAGGAAGGAAGGAAGGAAAGAGATTTGCAGGTAAATGAATGGAACTAAGCAAAAATCATTCTAAGTGAGGTAACTTAGACCCATAAAGACAAACATAGTATTATTCACTTCTATGTCAATGTTAGCTGTTAAGTCACTGATAAGCAAGCTACACTCTGTAGAACCACGAAGGTTAGGTAGAGAGTAAGGTATGAAGGGAGAGATGAATTCCCCCTAGGAAAGGGAAATAGAATAGATAGTTATGGATGGATGATGTGGGGGGATTGAAATGAGAGGATCAGACAGGGAGGGGAAGGGAAGAAAGAAAAAGAGGGAGCGAATGCAGGGATGAACAGTTAAAACTAGGGTCCATTTGAGGGATCTTATGGAACCTAATACAGCAGAAGTTTCCTGCCATGTATAATTCTCTCTCTCTCTCTCTCTCTCTCTCTCTCTCTCTCTCTCTCTCTCTCTCACACACACACACACACACACACACACACACACACACACACGAAGATACTAAATGAAATTGACAAATAATGGGGACAATGGTGACCCAACTGGACATCTCTCATCACCAAATTAAGTTTCAAGTACTGGGGATGGGTTACACCCAATCAAGTTGTTAGCCAATAGGGTATCATGGGAACTTCCAAACAACCCAAGCTATTGTCAAGGCTCTCCACAAATCAGCAGTTAGGCCCTATTACTGCAGACAACACCGACACAACTCAATGAAAGCAGAGAAGTAGAGCTGGTGCCTACTTAGAGCCTTTACCTCTACGGATTAGTGTTTATGGTACTGGAAGGCACTTTGCATGCTACCAGGGGAGAAAAGGAGACACCAATCCAGCTAGAAACCTTCAGTCTATAAGAGTGACCCGCCTCCAAGATACCCTGGTGCAATAGTGTCACAGAGCTTGTGGGAGTAACCAACCAATGTCATATTGGAATTAAGGCCCCCACCATGAGATGGAACCCATGCTCAACACTGCCTTAGTGACCAAGAACCTGAAACAGAATAGGTCAGGGACCTAGGAAAAAAGCAAATACTACTCTTCCACTAAAGGAACATAGCAATAAAATGACTGCTAATGACACTCTTCTATACCCACAGATCTGCGCCTTGCTCGGCCATCACCAGAGAAGCTTCCTCTTTAAAGCAGATGGGCACAAATACAGAGACCCACAGTCAGAGACACAGAGAGTGAGAGACCTTGGGAAAGCCCTAAAAGGGAAGTGTCCATCGAATCCCTTCTCTCTAGGTTCAGAAAACTGTGCTGTGCGAGGAGGCAGAAAGAATGTAAGAGCCAAAGGGGATAGAGGACAACAAGGACTTAAGGCCTTCTGGATACAACAGGGCAGCATGCATGAGGCTTGCATGGCTCTGCACCAGATGGGGTCCTAGAGCTGAAAGGAGATGTGTTAACACGCCCCCATCCCTACCTAACCCAGAAGCTATTTCCAATTGAGAGTCAGCTGCAACTGAAAATCTAGTTTTCTCCAGGGAGTCTCACTGAGGAAACTAATTACTCTTAAAGGAAGGTCCCATGCCCAACAGTGGATGACAAACACAGAACAAACTCAGCGGCATCTTTGGAGGTTCTTTGTGTCATAATATTAAGCCAGGACTTTATTTTTCTTCTATCTTACAATTCCTTTGTAGATATATTATGGCTTCTGGTTTGGGGTTTTTATGGAATTCCTATGTATTTGAACATAAGTGTCTCTGCATCTATGTATGTTTCTTGTGCTTTTTCTTTAGCTCTTTTCCTTGTTTGGTTGTTTTGTCCTATTCCGATTTGTTTTATTTTATTATTGTTCCTTAGAATCTGTTTGCTTTTCTGGAAGGAGGGGAGGCGAGGAGGAACTGGGAGGAGTAGGTAGACAGGAAACCATAATCAGAATATATTGTATGAAAAAAATCTATTTTCAATAAAAAAATAAATAAATGGAAAAGAAGAGTAGCTGAGTAGCTAGAGGGATCAGGGCAGTCTGCAGCATCCCTTCATAGTCTCTGCTTCGGTTTCTGCCTCAAGTTCTTGGCTTGGTTTCCATTAACAATAGATTATAACCAGCAAAAAATCCTATCTCAAGGCAATAAGACAGACATATTGTCTCATCTCCTGGTACTTGAACCTACATATGCACATGCAACACGCGCATTCACCAACACACACACACACACACACACACTAGATAAAACAAAACAACAACAACAAACCCTTTCCTCCCCAGATTCCCTTTGCTCATACTGTTTATCACAGCAACAGAAAAGCAAGCCAGACACTCCCCTAGAGGATGGCACCTACAGTTTCAAAGCAGAACCGGTCCCCTGTTAGCCCTGTGATCGCAGGGCTGTAGCCCCAGCAGGACAAACACAGCTGGTATAAGAAAAACTTCACACTTCACGTATGAGCTACCCAGTACAGCAATGGTTTGTAGTATGAGAATGTTGTCTTGCTCTCTGTCCCTTTTCACTTAGAGCTGATTGTTTTTTTGGCAAAAATCTCAGATCGATGCCAGCTTGTCTTGAAAACCTTCCTAACTCCTCATTTTAACAGGAGGAGAGCGAACTGCCACCTCCAAGCGTTCTCTAGAATGGCCACTTTCTCCTGGGTGTCTGTTTTGTCACCTTTGACCAACGAATGGCAAGTGATACTATAGTCTTACTTTGTACGGTATCATGATATTTCCTTTAAAATGAACTCATTTATTTTACTGAGAAATTGATGAATTAAATAGAAAGCACAGAGGGGGGGAAATGAATGTAAAAATAATTTGTAGCTATGACACCAAATGAAAATGTGGTATTCAAATTATCAACAGATTTTAAGGACTGAGGCAATGGCTCAGTGGGCAAGAAGTGCTTGGTCTAAAGCAAGAAAACATAGATTTGATTCTCCAGCACCTACATCAGAAGCCAGGCATGTCTGTGCCCTTCTGTATCCCCAGCACTGGAGCAGAGTCAGGCAGATCCCCAGAGCTCACTGCCAACTTAAATAAAAGAACTGCATTCCAACTCAATAAGAAACCCTGTATCAAGGCAAAAGACAGACATCGTTCTCTGACCTCCAGGCACATGAACGTGTACTCACTTGCTTTCACCACCATTACCACACACGCGCATACGCACACTAGCGCGCGCGCACACACACACACATACACACACATACACACCCAAATATACAAAAAGAAGAAGTGGACTCTAGCATATGACACGGGAAGTGAAACAGGTAGGTCTATGTGGTCTCAGTGTCCTGCCTAATTAGTGAAAACTGCCCTTCCATGGCTTTGCCCTGAGCTTTCCCAATTCTGAGTGGTGGTTTGGTTTCTGGGTTTGACCTGCTGAAGATCCCACAGCTGATATGATTGGGTAAGCCAGTGCCATCTGCCCAGCTTGGCTGAAACATTTGAAAATGGGAAGAGAGGCCTGGGTGCTTGGGAGGCTATAACTTCTTGCCCTGGGCTTCCATTTTCGAGGGCTGGCACAATAAAAACCAAAAATTAATCTGCAGCCTCAGAAACCCCAAGAGAAACAAAGGCAGTGAGGAGACCTTGAGGCCTGAGAAGTGAGCGCACCAGGCCTATGGCCTTCTCAGACTCCTTTGTCAGCCAGCTGAGGGATGAGAACGGCAGGCACCCTGGGACTACGGTTCCCCCACTTGTTTGTGGTTTGTGCTGCGGATAGTCCCTGATATTCACACACTTTGAGCACCCACACTTCCCTCCCGACTGAGGGAACAAAGCTGACAGTTCTTGAAAGAAGAGAGGGCTGGAGGATGGCTCAGCAGTTAAGAACACTGACTGCTCTTCCAAAGAACCGGGGTTTAACTCCCAGCACGCACATGGCAGCTCACAAATGTCTGTAACTCCCTCTGACACCCTCTCACAGACATACATGAAGGCAAAACACCAATGCACAGAAAATAAAAATTAATTAATTAAAAAATAAAAAAAACCGAGGGTAAGTTTAAATTACAACAACAGTCATTATTTAAACATGTGTAACTGCATTTATGTGTAGTAATAATTTAAAAAGTATTCAAGTCAGGCGTAGTGGCTCGTGCCTGTACTCTCAGGCCTCAGGAGACAAAGGCAGGCAGATCTCTGTGAATTGAAGCCAGCCTGGTTTACAGAGCAAGTTCCAGGACAGTCAGGGCTGCTACACAGAGAAAGACTATCTTGAAAAAAAAAAAAAAAAAACCAAAAGAAAAAAATCAAATCAAAGTACAAATATTGTTGTGTTAAATGCGCTCATTTTAAAATTTAATAGTTACTTATTTACTAGAGAGCATGCTACTACAAACGTGTGAGATCAAAGGATAGCTTTGTGAGGCTGAAGCTCTCCTTCCATTTGTTCTGGGAATCAAGCTCAATTCACCATACTTGTGTAGTAAGTACCTTTACATACTGAGCCACCTCCCCTACTTTGATTTATCAAACATCTGAGGATCATAAAGATTTGGTTAAGGTATACACACAGGCTGTCCATCTCACCAGTGACGGTGGTGCAGTGACCAGCTGTGGTGTATGTTTGGGGTAGAATTGGCGATAGCACAGGAATTATCTGTGGCCATACCTGCCTGGATGCTCTAGGTGCCATCTAAAAACATACAGATGTATTTAGCACTTGTCACGTGCCGGGCACTATGTTAAAAGCTTTCTATGTGTTATTTCATTTAGTCCTCATTGTATCTCCACGACAGAGGTACTATTTTTGGCTTTGTTTTGTTTGTTTGCTTGCTTGTTTTGCTTTCTTGCTTGCTTGAGACATGGTTTGTCTGTGTAATAGTTCTGTCTGTCCTGAAACTCGCTCTGTAGACCAGGCTGGCCTCGAACTCACAGAGATCCACTTGCCTCTGCCTCCTCAGTGTTGGGATTAAAGGCATGTGCCACCAGACCTGGTCTAAGGTACTATTAATACCTCAGTCTGAAGCTTACAATACAATCGACACGAAGAGTGTAAGTAACACATGAAATGGTAAAGTCGGGACTTGAATCCAGGCCCATCTCACGTCCAAGTTAGTGCTGGCCACTGCTAAGCTGTAGTACTACTTCTATGTAAGGCTATGTTATAGTTCATACACTGCATAAGAACCAGAGGATCCTTGTACAGGGCTATCCTCCAAGACAAACGACCACCGCCATGGGCAGTCAGCTGTGCCCTCTTGACCATCCAGTTGGGCTTATTGACTGTCTACATCCCCACATAGAGGGGTGGGGTGAGTCACAAGATCCTTTCCTGTGAATCCAGTCCCTCCCAACCACATGTTGTATGCAACACATCCCCCACTGCCCACGGCTTCCGAGAGGGATAGAGTATACAAGCCTGGGAAGACTAGGGATTCAGGCTTTATCTATGCAGCAATGAAAAAGTCATTATCTCTGTTGGGTAAAGACCCTGAAGTGGCATTTTGGCAGGGGAACACTCACATTCTGATATTTAAGTTTGGCCAACAAACTCATGGGTTCCCTGGGAGAAATTCTACCCAGGTTTATAACTGGGACTGGGGGAGGAACATTTTTTACAACTCCCCCAGGGAAGAAATTGTAGTAACAGTCCTGAAATGGAACTGACTTTTTTTCTCTAGCTGAAGGGGTCGGGCTGCCCTGGTACGAACGGACCAAGCAGCCTCTGTAGAGGCTCCTACCTGTCATAGGCACAGTTGGTGCTCTTCTTGACTGTGGTGTCCACCTGGTCCCCAATCAGCCAAACGAAGTTGAGGTCAGTCCTCAGACGGATGTTCTGCCAGGCCTTCTTGGGGACATAACTGCAGCCAGCGTTGAAATCACCCATGAAGATGAAATTCTGAAAGACACGTTTTAGAACCATCACTCGGCAAGCACTGGAATACATGACCAGCCACCGGCAAGGGCCCCACCTTTCATGTCCAGTGAACAAAGAGGTCTTTTTGTTTTGTTCAGATTGGAGACAGGGCTTCTCTGTGTAGACCTAAGCTGTCCCAGAACTCACTCTGTAGACCAGGCTGATCTTGAGCTCAGAAATCTGCCCGCCTCTGCCTCCCAAGTGCTGGAATTAAAGGCATGCACCACCACCACCCAGCTACAAAGAGGTCTTTCAGGACTTGGATTGGACCCCTCCCAATATATTTTGTTTCTTTTAAACTTTTTATTGTGTGTAGTGTGTGTGTGTATACATAATACATATATATGTATAAACATACATATATATATATATATGTACATATAAACTTGTTGATTCTCTTCTGTCCTTCTACTGTGGATTTTAGGGATATAACTTTGGTTGTCAGACTTGCACAGCAAATTCTTTTACTCACTGAACCATGCCACTGACCCATCCATCCCAATATTAACTCCTAGTCCTGCTACACTAGAATGTGACTACATACAGAGTCTCATGTAATCTAGGCATGCCTCAAATTAGCTCTGTAGCCCAGGATGGTCTTGGACCCCTGATTCTCTTGTATCCATCTCTTGATCTCTGTGCACTTCTACACCCAGCTGGAAAATGGAACTTTTAAAATATAATTAAAGTTAAAAATGAGGCCAGGTGGGTGGCCCCTTATATAGAAACAGGACTGGGTTTGCTCAGTGGTAGAGTACAGGCAAGTAGGAGATCGTGGCTTTGATCCCCAGCACGACAAAAATAAATAAATTTAAGTAAGAGAAATAGAGATTAGAACATAGAGAGATACAGAGGAAAGACCACACAGAGACAGCAGATGAAGATGAGTCTCTATAGGCCAGGGACAGAGGTCCCAGAAGGAACAACCTGGCTCTTCCACAACTGGCATTGGCTCTGCAGCCTCCTGAACAGCGAGAAACAGGCCCAGAGTTACTTTCTGCACCGGGTTCTGGGGCACTGCTGTGTTACTAGCGAACTCACAGTTTCCATCTGTGTTCCCTTTTTAAGAGAAGAACAAACAGGTTCCAAGTGAGTCAGAGTTTGGACAAGGATCTGGCAGTGAGAACAAGGAGTGGGAGAGAGGATGCTCGCCCCACAATGCCATCTTGATCTTGGTCACAGTATCTCTGTAACCTGCTACACATAGGTAGGCAAGAAACACTGGAATCCAGCTAAGATATCCCCTCACATAAATACTGCAGCAAATGTGGACAAATACCTCAGTTCCCAAGAAGCCAACTTAACTGGGGCAATGCGGTGATGGCTATTTTGACATCTCTCTGTGTCCTAGTGTATGGAGGACAGAAACTAATTCCTATCACAACTCAAGCCTTTGAGAGGCAGCCTTAGAGTGACCTGCCTTTCTCCACCCTATACCACCAAGATTTGGAAGCGTCCCATCCCCCACAGGCCATGGGAAGAGAATTTTAACATTCTGCAGTTACAGAGGAAACATCTTATTTCCTTGTTTGTGCTATTGTTTGGGATGATTGCTGACTTGAGAGCTTTCCTTAAGAGCATTTCATTTTGACCTCTGCAATTAGGGTTTCCCTTGAGATTAAGGTGCATAAAGACAGAATGCTATCCCTAACCTATGTGCCCCAGTCAGCAGGAAGTGATTTACCAAGCTCAACTGACAGGTCTTGAACCACCATGAACCACAGCAGGGACAGGCAAGAGCAAGTAAGCAGGCTGCTCTAGGCCACACAACCAGAGGGATTAAGCAACATAACCCAGGGCCAAACCTCAGTCTGCCTTCCTGAAGGTCCATCAGCCACGGTCTCTTCCCCAGATACTGGATGTATTCTTGCTGAATGTGTGGACTCATCGTTTATTTGGGAACTTACAAATAAGCAATGAAATGCACCCCTGGCCCTCTTGATGGTCAGTTCTGACCAGCTGTGTCTACACTTGACTCATTTTGCACCTCGAGTGGGGGAACTGAAGAGAAAGAGGGACTCTCGGCGTCACATTCCGAAAGGAAAAAAGAGGAATTTGGCAGGAGAGCCGCCTAAGCACTTCCTCAAACCCACAGAGCCACAGATGACAGTGTCTCTATCTTCCGAATGACAGGTGATGGCTGTCTTGAGAAGCGAACACTATCGTTGCTTCTCCTTTTTGTGATCTTGCCACTTGCCTCTGAAACACTCCTGACCTCCTAGGCCTCACTGTTCTTAGTTATAAATTGGGACTGATTAATGACCTTTTGTGGTTGTGTACACAGTGCAGGTACACGTGTGTGTGCTTGTGGGATGACTTAGTGTGTGCGGTGGGTGTGCACAGTGCAGGTACACGTGTGTGTGCTTGTAGAGGCCAGAGTACAACCTTGGGTGCTGTCCTTAGGCACCGCTGCTTTCTTTTTTCTGTGGTTTTTTCTGTGGTTGCATCTCTCCGGCATGGAACTTGCCAAGGATGCTAAACGAACTAATTATTGAGTCCCAGAGATTTGTCTGCCTCTGTCCTCAACACGGGAAATGTAAATTTGCACCAGTATGTCCAGTACTGTGTGTGTGTGTGTGTGTGTTGTTTTGTTTTATGGTTTCTGGGGACTGAACTCAGGTCCTAATGTTTGCAGGACAAGCACTTTATCAAGTGAACCATCTCCCCAGTTCCTTGTTGGATTATTGAGAGGATTAAGTCCACTTGTTCATTTGTAGTCTCAGCACAGTGCGTAGGCCTTAGGACCAAACAGTTAATAATACTGGCATCCATTATACACGCAGCAGAGCATGAATTCCCAGGACCCACAGGGACAGGCCAGAGAAGTCTTAGCAAGAAGGATGTTTAGGGTTGAGGAAAAACTGTACATCGGCTTGCATGTACTTCACCCCCTCACCCTCCTACTGAATGACTGGGTGCTGCCTGATGGGAACGGGACAAGCACAGAGGCCCTCACCTGCACTTTCCACCGCCGTTTCACATCCGTGTAGACGTCAACCAACTCGTCAATCTCTTTCACGGAAGTCTCAGGCGTAGTGTGCAAGGGGACGATCACGAAGTCCTTGACAGCTGAGGAATAACAAACAGGAGGTGGCACACTACCCGTTGAGGGCCCTCTAACACTGCCTGAAGAAGGCCCCTCTAAGAGACACCGCTGCATTGTGGGGGCATCGTGACAGAGGGCCGGAGACGGTGGCTGAGATTCCGGTGCTTTAGTGACCCCAGGCTGCTTGTTGTCAGGACATGAAAGACTCCGTTCTCCAACCTGTGCTCTCTCCAGCTAAGAGGAAGCTGGTGACCGTGGTCACGCCTGGCACTGTGGGCACTGTGGGTTTTCTCTCTCTTCCTAGCTCTCCTTCCTTTCCTTTCTTTAACAGTCTGTGTGTGTGTGTGTGTGTGTGTGTGTGTGTGTTGTGATCTCACCTGCCCTTCCTTTTTCAAATCTTTATTTTTTTCTCTTGGTTTGTTTGGAGTACCGAAAATGATTTATGTTTTATGGCTATATCATTCTTTCTAAGAGTAATAAATCCACTTGCGTGGGGTGGCACATATCTGTAGTCCTGAACTTAGGAAACTGAGACAGAAGAAGGAGGAGTTCGAGGCCAGCCTCAGCTACAGGAGAATGCCTCAAAAAAATGAAAAAATAACCTACAACAAATAAATAAAGGTTACTTATAACCAGGACTTAATGACTGCTTTTGTTTAAAGCTGTGTTCTGGGGCTGTAGATGTCCAAGGCCTGGCTAAAGGAAGATGAACATCTGGAATCCACGCATTTGCTTTGCATCTGTCTCCTCTGCTCCCTTAAACTCTGGCTCAGACTCTGCTGACACGTTCACCATTTTAGGAGACAACAGATGGCCAGTCTCTCATCCCCCGAGGCTGAAGACAAAGAGATGTATTCCAGAAACAGTGAACCTTGCAGGCAGATCAAGCCCTGACAGAAACCTTGGTTCTAACCCCAGGAAGCTAGTGTCTTCCAGGGGACCTGGAGCCGGTAATAAAACTACACATGACATCATACCAAGACTGTTGACCAACGTCTAACTCTACCCCTCCTGGCTTTTCTTCCTTCCTCTGTAATCTCAAGGTCTTACCAAGATCCCCAGGACAGGGCTAGGACACTTGTCTGCTTCCTGTTGTTGCCATCCTGACAATCAAATCCCTTCCTTGTTTTACCACCACTGTCTCAGTCTGCACTTTCAGGGTAGCAGGGGGCAAATCTGGAGCCAGGCCCCTGATCAAGGACTTTGGTAACATGTTTAGCTTTTGTATTAAAAGGGAAAAGAAAAATTGAGGCTGGCAAGTTTATAGTCCTTTTGCAAATAAGAAGAAAATAATAATAATAATAATAATAAAATTTACCTAAAAATTAGAAAGCAGGGGGCATGGGGGCACAGGGCTTTGATGCCAGCACTTGGGAGTTGAAGGCAACTCATATCTATAAGTTCAAAGCCAGCCTGGTCTATATAGTAGCACCCTGTTTCAAAAAAGAACAAGAAAGGATGGAGGTGTTGGCAAGGTGGCTCAGTGGTTAAGAGCATGTACTGTTCTGGCAAAGGATTGGAGTTTGTTTTCCACCTATGTTGGGTAGCTCACAGTCGACTAGAACTCCAGTTGTAGGGGGATACAAGACTTCTGGCCTCCTTGGGCACCTGTACGTGCATAGACACACGCAGCCCTGGGTTCGATCCAAAGCATCACATAAAACAAAGCATGGTTGCCTAGGCCTGCAGTTTCATAACTCAAGGGGTGGGGGATGCTGAAGAGTCAGGAGTTCAAGGCCAGGCGGGAGTACGTGAGACCCTATCTCAAAAACAAAACAAACAAGGAGATGATAATCAGGGTGCGAGGGTATATTTCCCTAATCCCAGCTCTGGAAAACAGGAAGCAGGAGGATTGTAAAAATCAGGGTTAGTCTGGGCTACATAGCAAAACCTTGTACCCAGACCACAAAACAACGGAGTAAGAGAAAGAGAGAGTGAGAACCAAAAGCTCCTAAGTGTGGTTCCCCAGGTGGGCCTCGTAGCCAGGCCTTGCCTTCCTGTCTGCAGGAGCTCTGATCTGAGGCAACCTCTCATTCTCTGCCTGGATCCCATTCCTGCCTCATGTGTGGAGGCTACAAGAGGACATTGCTTGAGACCCACAGAGGGGATGTGAGGGAAAAAATGTTGTTTTTTTTTTTTCTATCAAAGGTAGCTAACCTCTAAGGGGCCAATATTCCATAAACCTCTGCCATCTTATGAGCCTCTTGTGTATGTGCGCGCCTGTTTGCCCAAGACCTGGACATTCTCGAGCCCTTACTCTACCATACTCTCCTTTACACTGACTATGAGCTAGCCAACCACATGAGACTGTGAGGTCAAGCTCCCACCAACGGCACGAGACGCAATCACCACCTGCATTAAGATAAACACTAAGTGAATGTCGCTCCTCAGGATGGCTGCTCACCTGGCTCGGGCTGTGGCACACCTTTTTGCAAGACGCCAGGTTACTCTTGCTTTGGTGCGTGTTTCCTTATGTCACACTGAAGATACTGTTTTCCCACAGGAAGCTGGGCCTCAGACCTGCAGGCTGTCCCTGGAGGCAGGAGACCTACTCCTTAGCCACATCTCCAGCTCATGGCTCTGCCTTTCTGGAAATTCCCGTACACACTTCACCACATTCTCGCCTCTGAGATTTGACTCTCGGTGCCTTCCTGTCTCCAGCCATCTGCATGGTAACAGACCTTGTCTGCCTCTAATGGCCATGACTAGTCACCCCTCTAAGATCCCTCTGCGCTGTTTTATATGTCCTGCTTATTACTCCTTCATCCTCTGTAAGCTTCTCTTCTCTTATATGCTTCATCCGCAAGAGACACCTCCACGGTGCCAGGCTTCTATTTTCTTTCTTTTTTTTTTTAAATTACATTTATTTATTTATTATGCATACAATATTCTGTCTGTATGTCTGCAGGCCAGAAGAGGGCACCAGACCTCATTCCAGATGGTTGTGAGCCACCATGTGGTTGCCGGGAATTGAACTCAGGACTTTTGGAAGAGCAGTCAATGCTCTTAACCACTGAGCCATCTCTCCAGATACCCCCAGGCTTCTATTTTCAATTCACCTCCTTGTCTCTACTACCTAGTACAACACGGGGCACATGAGGTGCTCAAAACTATTTCTCGATTGAATTCGTGAATGAAAGTTAGATAAATGAATGAAATTGCTAACTCATTTGTTTTCAGTCCTGATACAACAGGGTAAACTCCTGACCCAAGGGAGAGACGAAGGGTAGGAAAGACTGGGCGTAGAGGCTCAGGAAAAGCAGATCTACTTAGTAATACAGAGTCTTGCCTCTCTTTGAGAAAAAATAAGTACTTGGAGGTGGAGCCTCTCCCTGCTCAGCCATAAGTAAATTGGATAAGAAATAAAAGGATCATTGCACTCATTGCCCTCAATAGTCCCTCTTCTTTTCTACTGAGAATTCGCACTCTTCTCTTATAGTTATTTTCCCAAAGTACTCTTCCTCTAAGTTAATTAACCCCGGGCAGAAATAGTTAATTCTGTAGTTCTGAGAGTTTCACCAGTGTGGGATAGAGACAGGCAGGCCTGCTTTGATTCTGCATATATCTGTTCATTCAAACTCTGTATTCCTTCGACAATACGATGTCATGAGGGCATGGACTTTGTCAGTCTTAGGCCCTCAGAAGGTCACATGGTAGGTAGTGAAAAGCATTTGACTTTACATGCTGAAACTTATTCACCAATTTTAATTCTTGACTCTTTTTTATTTCTGTTCCTTCAGTGCAGAAGATTGACTCCAGAACCTTGTACATGCTAGGCACCAGCGCTTTCATCAAGCTATAGTTTTGGCACTTAGTATTTTGAGAACAGGGTCTCACAATATAGTTCAGGCTGGCCCCAATCTGCTGGTCCTTCTTTCTCTGCCTCCTGAGTGCTGAAAGTAGACGCATGCGCCACCTCATCTGGTGAATTTTGACATTCTTTTGAGTTCAGTGGTGATTGGGAATATGGGCTTCTGGGTCAGTGTCCTGACTTACAATTCTGGCTCGTCTACTTTAATAGTTGGACTCTGGCAAGTGATAATGCCTTTAAAACCCCAGCCTTCTCACATCTGAATTGGAGATAGTCCTAGTCCCTACATTGCAGTCCATGGAAGAATAACAGGAAAGTGGCCATTAGACATGGACCAGTAGCAGGGGGTCAAAGCACACCTGGTTTAGTTTTACTCCCTTCTGGCAATCTGTGGAGGGTGGAGTTATCAATGATCCTGAGAAAAGTATCCCGGTTAAGAAGTCCTACATCTTGGTGTTCTGAAAAACAAGGCTGGTACCCTCAGGCCAGCTGCTTTTCTCAAGCTTTAACTCTCACCTCAGGGATCCCATAAGACAATGCATGACTCTGCAAGCACGTCACACATGCTCACGGGTGGGCCTCTTCCTGGGCTGCTGGAGAGGTCACCAGGAGATGGACTGTTACGGCTTAAATATGAAATGTCTCTCAGAGGTCTGTGTGTTGAATGCCTGGTCCCCAGATTGCAGCATTATGTTGGGAGGTTGTGAAAACTTTAAGACCTGGGGTTTTGATGGAGGAAGCAGGTCACTGGGGAGTGACTTCAAGGGTTATCCCTAGGGCCCAGTGTCTTTCTCATGCCTCTCCACCATGAGGTGAAGAAGCCCTGTGACCTATGTTCTCACTGACAGGATGTTCCGCCCTACCACAGTCTCCGAATCCACAAAGCTGCAGCTATAGATGAATCCTCTAAAACATAAATAGATCTCCCCTGCTCCTCTGAGCTGTCTGTGTTGTGTATTGGTCATAAAGACCCCAAGAGCAACTCATACAGAGTCATGGTCTCACCAGTGAAGGGCGACTGGAACCAAACCACAAAGGGCTCCCTGGAAAACACGTCGGTGTCTCCATCCTGGTAGTCGTGGTAGAGGTATTTGTCTTTCACAGATACCAGCTTTTCCCTACAAGAGGAGGAAGAAAGAATTTCTTCTCACTGAGTTTTTTGGTCGTGACTTTAGTAGCTTCCAGAGCAGGCTCAACTTTGGGAGGGTCTTTCCCCTAAGAACAGGTAGAATCAGCTCTTCTCCACGAGCAGAGGATCTGAGTTATATGTGCTGTCTGGCACAGCAGGTGAATGTTCAGACTTTAAACAGAAGAATGGGAGGAAACCAGAGAAAGTCCTCCGTCCTGTGCTCAGATGAGCTGAGCCAGGACTTCCCACGAAGGACAAAGAACTCCTACCCTGGCCAGTCAGTAGTTGTCACAAAGCTGCTGTGCTTTCTAGCTAATGATTGAACAATTTTCTTGTGAAAGTTTTAGGTGATTTGTTTTGAAACAGGGTCTCCCCTCGTATAGCTCAGGCTGATTCTGAACTTGCCGTGTTGCCTGAAGTCCGATCCCTTTACCTCTACCTTCCAAGTGGGGTGAAAGCCAGGCTCTGCACGTGCTGGGCGAGCAAGCCCTCTAGCAGCCGAGCTCCAGTCCCAGTGCATGGGTTTGACAGCCAAGATCCCGATAGCTATGATAATTGCTTAGAGACTAGAATCGAATGCTTTTGTTTTATTTGAGACAGGATCTCACTTTGTAACTCTCACAAGCCTAGAACTGTGTAGACCAGGCTGGCCAACAACTCACAGAAAACTGTCTGCCTCTCCCTTTCTAAGACTGGGATTAAAGGTGCATTCTGCCATACCAGGCCCCGATGCAATATATACATTTGAGTTCAGTTCAGACAGATGAAACTCACTTATAGAGGAAGGCATACTGTTCTTTGTATGTGTTTCTTCCAAGTCGAGAACTAATCACATAGTTGTAGGTTGTGCTTCTCCGTGAATTTCTGGAAAACAAAATTTAGTGTGTTGTGAAAAATAAACAACCTCTAAACACATTTCTGCTACATCTGCCCCCACCCTAACCCCATCCCTGCCCCAGTAGTAGCATTTGGTACCACAGCTGCCCCTACCTCCATCCCTGCCTTCAAATCCCCAGCGCTGAGGCATATAGTACCACAGATGTCCCTACCCACATTCCTGCCGCCACACCCCGAGTGCTGGCATATAGTACCACATATAGTCCTTCCTTACTTTCCTTCTTTCTTCTTCCTTTTGGTTTTTTAAGACAGGCTTTCTTTTTTTAAAAAAAAAAATGTGCATTGGTGTTTTGCCATGAGTGTCAAGTCCCCTGGAGCTGGAGTTATAGACAATTGTCTAAGAACTGAACTGGGTCCTCTGGAAGAGCAGCTATCTCTGAGCTGAGTTATCTCTCCAGACTCAAAACAGGGTTTCTCTGTAGCCCTGGTTGTCCTGGAACTGCCCAGGCTAGCCTCGAACTCACGGAGATATGCCTGCCTCTTCCTCTAGAGTGCTGGGATTAAAGGCATGTGCCACCACCACTCAGCCCCTACTGTGTGATTTAATAACACAAGGCTAGGATTTGAAGCCAGACCTTCTCATTTCAGACCCCACAAGCTTCAAACTGCTTCTGTGGGAATCACGGAGACAAGAGATGACCTGGGAAGAATCAGAAATCCTTGCTTTTAGTCTTCAATACAGCCTAACAGGTAAAAATGCTCCCATCAAGCCTAACACTGTGAGTTTGATGTCCAGCCCCCAAAGGGAAGAAGGAGAGATCCGACTCCTGAAAATTGTTCTTTGACCTCTACATGTGTTATGGGACACACACACACACACACACACAATGGAATAAAAATAAGAAAGAAAACAAAGAAAGAGATCCCTGCTTTGGCCCTGAACCATTGCAATGACTCGTGCTTTTTAGTTGGAGTCAAGTTTCTCAGGTTCTGTCCAAGTGCCACTTTTGAGGTCCACCAGCTCACCAGGGAATCGCTCAAATGTTCTGGGGCTGATTTTAATTTTTATTTCATTTATTTATTTATTTATTTTGGTTTTTTTGAGACAGGGTTTCTCTGTGGTTTTAGAGCCTGTCCTGGAACTAGCTCTTGTAGACCAGGCTGGCCTCGAACTCAGGAAGATCCGCCTGTCTCTGCTTTCCGAGTGCTGGGACATGTGCAACTACCAACCGGCCTGGGGCTGATTTTAAACACTCACTATTTATTCCTGGGGTAGAGCTCACCAGGCGGGGAGGAGGAGGGCAGCAGACCCAGTAGGGTGGGTGCCTTTGCACTTACTTTAAGCTCTCTGGGGGCCCGTCCCTCTCCCCATTTACCCGTTCAGCTTCTCCATCAGCATGGGGCAAATGTTGTTGCTGCTGTCCTTGATTTCCATCAGGAGTATGAGGTCGCAGCGTTTGATGATCTGCAGAGAGAGAATTTCCAGGACCGTTTACTTGTAAATCACCAAATCTTACATCAGGCCCTTGCTGGGTTCCAAGCACCATAGTCGGGTGCTTGCTAGCGTAAGTAAATCTCTTCCTGAACTGAGAACAGCTCATTGCTGTGTCCCTTTTGTGTTTCGTTGATGTTTGCTGTAGTTTTGAGATAGGGCCGCATTGCTTAGGTTGGTCCCAAACTTCAGGTCTGAAGTGATTCCCCTGCCTCAGTTCTGAGTAACTAGGATCTCAGGGGTGCATCATATGCCCAGTGGTTTGGTTGTTGCTGTTTACATTATTTTCTGCCCATTTTAATTTTTTTTTAATTAATTTCTTTGTTTGAGGCAGGGTCTCACTATATAGCCCTGGCTGGCCTGGAACTCAGAGATGTGCCTGTCTCTCCCTCCAGGGTGCTGGAATTAAAGGTGGGCACTGCCACACCCCGCTGGTATGTCCATCTCAAGGATGAGGAGACTGAAGCTCAGACAAGGTCATGTTATCCAGCCTTGCAGCTCGAAAATAGCCACACTGGCATCTAGATGTAAACAACCAACCAGAGACACTCCTGACCGTGATACTCCTACACATCCTACAGCTTGGGTTGAGTGGTTGTAGGGGTGATAACAATAAATACACATTAAACCTTAATGAGTAAAGGTACGAGGCTGGGTGCTACAGATCTCAGAAGGCGTAATTACAGTGGTAACAACATAAGAGCTAACATTTACTGTGAACCTACTTCACAGGAACACTGAAAAAGGGACATGATGGTTAGCCCATTAGATCTAGATAGTAACTAAACTCAGAGTATTTTAGCAATTATTCTAAAGTCACAGCCAATACGGGTGGGGAAGCCAGGGGTCCAGCTCAGTTCTGTAGGTTCCACTACTCTCAGCTGTTAAAATACAGTCACTCAGAGACTCAGAGTCCAATGGAAGCAAGGCAGTGTAATGGCGGGAAAGTAGAATTTCTGCTAAATGAAAGTCACAAGCCATGGACGTGCTGGATAGGTCCGTGGATAATTAATTGCTTCTGTCAGAAGATCAGGGAAGGCTCCTGGGAAGAGATAGCCTTTGGTCCCTGAAAGGGTTGGAAATAATTCAGTGGGAGGAAAAATACAAGAGACACTTTGTCAGGGTGAGCTGCCCTCAGGGAGCGGAAAGAGCTCACACCCCTGGATGACCACGTGGCTCTGAGTAATGGGATGCTGGCAATTCAGCTCCACAGAATGTGGCTATCGAGGGTGAAGCAAGTCATGGAGGGCCACTGGGCCTCTATGTCCCCAGCATCTCCAGTTATTTCTAGAGAAGAGTGGAGTCCACGTTCCCGGGACCAGGGATGCAGACTTTAAAAAGCCGGGACTAAGGACTGACTGATCAGGAAGCCTCGATTCTAGGTGAAACCCACAGCACTGGCCATGCAGTACTCATCAGGAGCCACGTGCCAGCCTCGAGCCAGCATGCTGGTCAGTCACTGGAAACTACCAGGCCTTTCTAGAAGTGACTTTAAAATGCACACATTCAGTGGGTGTAAAGCACACACCTTTAATCCCAGCGTGAAGAGGCAGAAGCAGGCAGATCTGTGTGAGTTTGAGGCTAGCCTGGGCTGCATAGTGAGACACTTTCTCAAAACACAAAGACAAACACACGTACACACTCTTTGATTCCCATTTTGACCCTTTACAATGGAAGTAAGATGGAGTAGGAATTTAGGGCAGTGCCAGCTAGGTAGGTGGTCTGTAGTTGATTATTATTTCTAAGGCACTGTGGTTGAGTACCTTTTACAGGCAAGGATTTTCACATTTCTACTAATATTACTGTGCACGCACACACACGCATGCACGTGTGTGTGTGTGTGTGTGTGTGTGTGTGTGTGTGTGTGTGTGTGTAGGGAGGTGGGCGCCTGTGTTTATGGGTGTGAATATACCCTTGTATGTGAGAACATATGGAGACCAGAGGTGAACCTCAGGAGTCTTCCATCTTGATTATTGAGAAAAGGTCTCCCACTGGGACCTGGCTTGAAAATCAGGCTAGGCTAGCTGCACAAGGAGCCCCAGCAATCCCACGGTCTCTGCTCCTCAGACTGGGATGGCAAGTGTGTGCCCTTACACCTGGGTTCTGAGGGATCAACGTCAGCTTCTCATGCTTGGTCAGCAAGCATCTCACTTCAAGCATCTCCCTAGCCTTGTCCTTCTTTATCACCGAGAAAGCCAATGCTCTGAGTGCTGAGGTAACTTCTCAGGGTTTCATAGCTAGTTGGGAAGAGCCAGGGTCAACCCATGATCTGTCTCTCCCCCTTTTCTACACTAGACAGACTGCATCAGGGACAAACTTGTCAACACCGTGTCATCTGCCCTTCGCTAGCATGGGTAGAGCACGGGGGACATTGCCTGGTCATCTTGTGTTTTCCTTTCCTGTCACTGGTCGTTGTCTGACGCTAAGCTGGGCCTTGGTGAGTCTCCTGTGTCCTTCAGTTTACACATCCATCAGGTCGAGAACCTGTGTCAGACTGCCCAAGGCACTGGGGTTGCATGGTAGATGGGGGTGGCTTGTCACCCTTCTCAGGCCTTAGAGTACAATAATAATCATTCTTCCCTGCAGTGTTATGTGCTGGGTCCAAGTTCAACCTCACGATCCGATCATCTTTGTTAGCCTGTCCATGCTACAGATGGGACAACTGGAACCGGAGAGTAAGTCACCCGGTGTGGTGGGGCACATAAGTGGTAGAGAAGTGGATTGAACCCTAGGTCTTCCCCACCATGCTATGCTTTTTATTCTTTAAAGACATTAGGTAGGATTTTGTGAGTATGTCTCCACCCCAGATCTTTCTAGACCTCTCCAGACTGTCCCTTCCCTCACCCTCAGAGCATCAGTGGCACTACTTATCTGGATCCCATCCACACTAGCCATGCTCACCCCACCACAGACTGTTGCTTTCAGAGGTTTGGGCAGCATAGTGCAGAGCCTATCTGCCCTCCAGACCGCCACTCCCTCCCTCCTGCGAGCATGTAGGAATCTGGCACCGAGGAAAGCTCGAAGGGAAGGGTCCACCCAGAGCTTGGCTCTGAAAGGACCACCAAGGGAGTCGCTTCCCAAGAAGCAGGAACCAGAAGAAAATATGGCTTTTCCTCAACCTCTGCCATTTTGAGAATTTGGACAACAGGATCTTGCAGATTTTTCTCTGAGAAAACTTCCCAGAGACAGCAAGGAATCAGTATCAGCTGGAGATTCGGGGCTCAGAAGTGCTTGGTAAGCAAGGAACAGGGGTGTCAACAGGAAATCTGGCTGTGCTCTCAGGAAAGGGAATCTGAGCCCTGGCTTACTCTTGCGCTTTGCCAATGGGTCACACAAGAGAGGAACCTTGGCCTTTGGCATGCTAATCTCCTGGGTTTCTCCGTGGCCAGGAAGGGAGTCTGTAATATAGACAGGCCATTGCTCACCTTCCCTTAGCATTCAGCTTACTAACACCCACTGAGTAACCAACTATAAAGAGGGCTGTGGAGCTGTGAAGGGACCACACCAGCAGATGAGGCATGACTCAGTTGGCAGAATTCTTGTCTAGCATGCACAAAGTCCTGGGCTCAATTTCTAGCGCTGCATAAACCATGTATGATAGCAAATGCTGTTAATCCCAGCACTCAGGAAGCAGAAGCAAGGGGCTTAGAAGCTCAAGGTCGTCCTTGGTTACAGAGGGAGTTGGCCCAGCATAGACCTCGTGAGAAATGATGGCGATACTCTCCTAAAGCACAACTTCTGGTGGTACATAATGCCCCTCTCATGGTACATTTACATCACTAAAATGGATGTTTTCCTTCTTGGATTGTTTGCATTCTTTGGGTGGCAAATGTGTCTTTACCTTTGAGCCAAACAAGCTGCACTAGCTAATCGAGCACCAGGTATTTGCAGTCAACCACCACTGCTCTGTGATGGCTCTGGTGGTTTCCAGGGGATTGGCTTCTGTTTGCAGAATGGCTTTACAAGGATGGGACAAAGCCTTGACAAAGACTTTAGGCACACTTGGTGGGACTCACAGCTCAGAGGAGATGCTCAGAGGAAGTACAAAAACACAGCCTCCAAGAGTGTGGCAACACTTCCAGGGATGAATAAGCTAGGGCTGTAGATAGTCACTTAAGTCCCCAGGCGCCACTAGGCTACATGTGAAGAAACTGGGAAATTGTTTTCTTGCATGTCAGATGTCTCCATTCAGCCGTGGTGTTAGGATTCCCACAGGCTTGGCACAGCTGTCCTGGTAAAACCACAATGTCTAGAGCTTCTTGCTTATCATCTAAAGGACAGAGTCACCTAGGACCCAGAACTATTTTGGTAAGAGCACAGCAGGCTTTCTGCTTGTGTCCTCTCTGTCCAACAGTGGCATAAATACCAGCTTCATCTCAGCTCTGCTGGGCTTCAGTCACCAGCCTTACCAGCCACTCAGTGGGAGAACCCACTCTATTTGGAGCACCGGGAAGAGAAGGACTCTTGAGTTCCTCTGGGGATAGATGGGGTCTGAGCCTAGGGCTGCTGTCATTTTCGCCACACATGGGGGCCTCTTTTGTTGGTGTGTGTGTGTGTGTGTGTGTCTTGAGACAGGGTTTCATGTAGACCAGGCTGACCTTTAATTTGCTATATAGTCATAGATAACCTTGAACCTTTGATCTTCTCATTCTTTCTACCTCCCTAGTGCTGAAGTTACAGGTGGGCAGCACCATGCCTGGTCCATGCAATGCCAAGGATGGACTTCACAAATGCTAAGCAAGCATTCTACCAACTGAAGTACATCCCTAATCTCACTGTGTTTGTTTGTTTTTAAGTAATAGCCATTCCACCAGAGTCCAAGTATCAAAAATAAATCAGCCCATGGGACAGAGAGTCAACCAACTCCAGAAAAATGTAGGCAGTTTCCCTGGACATTGGTCATATTACCCAAGAACAGTAATATCCACAAGCAGAGAAAGCAGAGAATTTTGATTTGGGGGAAGGTCAATGGGGGAGAGGGATGAAGGGATGACAGGAGAGAGAGAGGAAAGGAGGAAGAGAAGGAGAGAGAGAATGCGCGTTTTGCCAATGATTATAAAGATGAAGCAGACAAGGCTATACCAGTTCCCTCAACGCCCCTCCCTGGAACTACCCAGCATCGCATCACTCTGCTGAGTTCATCTTCTCCACCGAGGAACAATAGTCCTTGCTCGTGAGGTTGACAAATGAGATCATGTATTTATAGTGCCTGACACACACACTCAGTATGTTCAGCTAAAACCATCAGAACAGCAGCATATAGCTGGAACTATCTGCTGGCCAGACTCTGGCAAAAGCATCATGTTTACCTGCTCAGCAACCTTGCAACACCCCTGTGGAAGGCACAACACCTTCCTAGAATACCTTTGGAATACACAAGAAGAAATGTCATCAGATAACAGCGGAGGCCTGGAATACCACCTGGTCTGAAGACGTGACAGAAAGCCTGACCTGAGGCAATCATTGCAATGGTAGTTACCACTGTCCTTAACTCTTCTTGAGAGCAAATTTCAGGGCCCTTGAGTCTGACGCTGGGGAAAGGGTGTAAGGGGTGGCCAGGACTCGAACACAACTCACCTTCACAATGACGTCCATGGCATTGTCGTTTTCCTTCTTCCGCTCTCCAAATGATCTCACATTGAAGGAGCAGAGCTTCAGGGCCAGGGCACTATGGAGGGCAAGAGAGAAGAGCAGCAAGAAAGCCAGGCGCAAGGAAGCCCGGTGCAGGGACATCTTTGTTCTCCTGGGACGTCGTCCGTCTGAATGAAGACACAGCTCCTGGCTCACTGACTTATAAAGCCTGCTGATAACAGGAATTACTGGATCCCTCTGGGCCACTTTCACTTCTCTGAGGAACTCATGGTCATGGGTTTTAATCCCCAAGGAAATGAAGACAATGGGTTGGCCTTTAGGGAGGCCTCTGTCTTCTTTGCCCTTGTAAGGAAAGTGCATGCCTAATTTAGGCACCAGTCCCCTTAAAGTCGGTCGTTATCTCAGCGGACAGGAGTGGAGGGGGGATCAGTTTGATCTCTGGATATGTCTCCTATGGTAGCTTGCCATGATCCTTTTTCTGACGGTTCATATACTTAGAAGTGTCCATCCAGAGGGCACTGGGCTGAAGGAGCCATCTGCTGGGGAAATAAAGATTTAGAGACTACTTGCCAGTGGACACATCTGTGCCTTGGCTCTTTCACCATCTCCAGAGGTGTTATAAGGTGAGGATCCGTTTGAACGAAGTGAGACAGAGAATACCTTGGGATCTGAGGAAGGCAATATGGAGGTCCTATGAAGAACAAAAGTGTCACAGGCTGAGTCCCTCAGAGGCATCAGAAAGAAGCAAGGTACCTGCAGTAAAGTCCCCATGACAGGCGGGGATGGGCCGCACAAGCCAAACAGGTGTTTCCAGTGGCTGCCGCGTGCAGGAATGAGTGAGCCGCTTGGCATGATCCTGTAATGTGCACAGATGGCTTCGTCATCCCACTCACAGCAGCCTTGGGGGTAGGGTGAAGCGCTAGCACCACTTAAGGTTGTGTAACTCTAGCAAAATCCGCCTGTCTCAACTGAAGGGCCCAGGAAAGAAAGCCACACCCGTGTCACAGATTCTATAAAGCTGATTGACTAATAGAACTGCCGAGTCCAATGATCTCGCAGCCATCTTTAGCCCTCTTTAAAGGCCATTTATTGCCATCCTTGTGACAGTCAGCTAAAACCCTTCTGGAACACACAAGAAGAAATGTCATCACATAACAGCTGAGGCCTAAAACACGGATTTTTCCTGATTTGCTGAAGCCACCTACGCTGTACTTCTCACCCGTGTCTCTTTTGTTTTGTAACTATAAAAGCGTACCGTGGAGCTGGAGAGATGGCTCAGCAGTGAAGAGGATCTGAAGGTGGCTCATAACCATCTACAGTGGGATCTGATGTCCTCTTCCAGCAAAAAAAAAAAAAAAAAAAAAAAAANAAAAAAAAAAAAAAAAAAAAAAAAAAAAAAAAAAAAAAAAGGTGTAAATGCAGATAGAGCATTCATAAACATAAAATAAATAAATAAGCTTAAAATTTTTTAAAGAAAAAATTCTAAAACTGGAGACTAGAGAGATGGCCCAGCAGTTAAGAGCACTGGATAATTTCCCCAAGGACCGGGTTCAACTCCCGGCACCCACATAGCCACTCATGGTGGTCTATAACTCCAGTTCAGGTGATCTGATATCTTCTTCTGACCTCCACAGACATCCGAGTAGACAAAACACCCTACACATAAGTACATTAAGTAATTAAAAATTTGAACAGTCCTTAAAACTGGTTATTGCTTTGGGACACGGTATTTGGGGAAGCCCGAACCTGGGCTTCTAGGTCATTTCACAGTCCTTTTGCAATGAGAGTTATATTTCTGCAGGTGCCTTTGTACCAGCTGGTGAAACGGGCTCTGTGTTTCAACCGCACATGACAGCTTCTACATCGGGCTGTGCTTGGGCTTACAGAAAATCACCCTATGAAGGGAAAACCCAACTGTCATGCCTTCAGAATTCTTTGAACTGTCTTCCGTTCTTTTTTTCTGAGACAGGGCCTCTAGCTCAGCCGGACTCCTGCCTCCAGTCTCAGATGTAATCTCACACTCTCAGAAAGTGCATTTTCTCTTTCGTGGGGTCCAGGTCCCGTGCTTTGTTCCAGATACCACAATGTATTACCATGGATGAGCTGCGTGTCTTCTCATCTAACGTCTGCCTTCTCGCTAGACATCTCTTCATAGGCCCGGATATCATGGGTGTGTGCTGACCAGGAAAGGATGGGCAGGTAGCAGGTGCTTAATAAATCACTGTTGAATGCAAAATAAGGTGCTCAGCTGATTCTCCAAAGCCCGGGTTCTCCATGATAGTATGGATGCTGAGCCAGGAAACTCAGTTTCCCTGGGCAACCAAAGGGACTCCCTTCCCTAGCCATACAGACAAAAGAAAACAGTAGCAACAGCCGTTGGAATAACATCTTCTATTAATTATTTAATTAGATTAATTAAGTAATTCTCAGGGATTAACTCTGGAAGACTTTTGGGGTCTTGCTGAAGCTTGCATTTCAAGTACTCCCCACCCCCACCCACACCCCCGCGGAGATTCATGTGGTAGAGGCTTAGTCCCCGGCATGGAGCTGGACACTGTAAATGTGGGCACTTAGTGGAAGGTTTTAGGTCATTAGAGGCGTGCCCTGAAGGAGACTGTGGAACAGCAATCCTCTCCCTGGTATCCTTTGGTTTTCTTTCATGCTCCAGCCCTGAGGGGAGCAACCTTGCCTTAATATCTGTTCCTGCTATGAAGCACTTGCCCTTCATGGGCTGCACATAAACACAACCTATGTATCGTGGGCTTGACCTCCAGGACACAGCCAGAATGAACCACTTCTCTGCGTGAGTTGATTGTCTCTCGTGTTATACAGTGATGGGAAGCTAACCAACTCAGGGCCAGGTAATTCTCTGTCGTGGATCTGTCCAGTGCATTCTAGGTTGTCCAACAGCCTCCTGGCTACTTGCAGCTAGGTGCTAGTCTCCTCCACATTGTGACAGTCTCAGGGGTGCCAGGAACCGCTCTAGTTAAGAATGTTGGTTTGGAGGTTAGAGCAAATATACTTCTAGTCACCGGCTGTTCGACCTTGGACATATAACTAAACCTCTCTGTGCCCATTTCTTCACCTTTAAAATGGAAGATAATAGCTTCCATATAGTACAGCTATGAAACTTTAGCTTTTAACTGAAGCGCTAACTCAGCACAGCACCTGGTCCTTCATTTGTGTAGTTAAAAAAAAAATGCTATCTCTGAACTAGAGAGATGGCCCCGTGGTTAGGAACACTCGCTGTACAACCATGAGGACTTGAGTTTGGAGCTCAGCACCCATGAAATAACTTGGGTGTAGTCTCACACACACCTACAACCCCAGGGTTGTGAGGGATGGAGACAGGGACTTGTTGGCTGCCAATTTAGCCAAAAAACAGCGGGCACTCCAAGTCGAGAGAGACCCTGCCTCGAAGGAAGGAGATGAAGAGGGGTGGAGGCGAACTCCTGACACCCTCCTTTGGTGTCCCCATCCACACACACATACATGAGCATACACCTATACGCACCGCACTCCTATGTAACATCCACACGGAGAATTCGAGAAGCAGCATCTAAAAACCATAGGAAAAGCACTGCTCTTTCCATCTTACAGCGGAGGAGTTAGAAAGCAGGAGATAAAAAAAGACAGTGCGCCTCAGCCTTTGGCCATGCTGTGACATCAAAGGCATCCATTTGGTTTCGCAAAACTAGTTCTCTTGGCTAATTCTGTTTACAGATACAAAAAGGCCCGTATAACTTCAGACCTCGCCTGACCGATCAGACTCTGAGCTGGTGGTGTTGCGATGCACGGACTGTTAGATCTGCCAGGCTGGGTGGAACTAGGCAGGGTCCAGTGAGATCGTGGCTTTGGGCCCAAAATTCAGGGCAGTGCCAAACAAATTAATGATGGAGGCAATTTAATTCCTTATTTTGTAAAAAAAAATCAAAATTTATTCAAAAAAATCCATCGTGAACAGAGTATCGATATCTCAGATAAGGACGCTGATGGGACCTTTCATTTGCTTTGACTTCTTCACTTCGCCTTGATCCTTCCGCTGCTAACTGCCGCCGTGCAAAACCTCTCCGTGGAGCCCCTTGAGGGTGGACAGCAGGGAGGCGGCGCCCTCTTCTGGCAGATGGGAGCACAGTTTCTCTGCTAGGAAGCCGGTCTTGCCTTTGCGTCTGAGAACACTGTTCGTCAGATTTCCATCATAAGACAAAAGCCGCAGTCGGCCAAGCAGTGCCAATGCAGCCGCTTCGCCAGTTCTTCCCGCAGGCAGCGCCGGCCATTGCCTTTCTTTTCCTGCTTTCTGTGCAAAAAGGCAAGGCAAGCCTTTTCTGAAGCAGCTTATTCGTATCAAGCTGCCCGCCCCAGCCTGACCGTAAGAGGTCGCTGTGAGGGACTGGCCCAAGATTCAGAAGAAGCACTTCCTTGTTTTAAGGGCTTGGTGGTGTCTTAGATTCAACGTATTTATTTACGTTTAGCATCTTTCTTTGAAATCATCGCATACAAATCTCAAAAATAACGGAAAAGCGCTCACCCACTCCACCCAATTTTTCCTTTTCACTAGTTGCTATGAATACAAGTTTTTCATTCAGGAACGGGCCTCCAAACAGTGCAACGCTTTACCCTTAAAACATCAGGGTGTGTCTCCCAAGAACAAGTAGGTTTCCTTAACAACCAGACGGGTATTACCAAAACCAGGTTTAACAATTATACAGAAGGTCTACGGCCATACTACCCTGAATGCGCCTGATCTCGTCTGATCTCAGAAGCTAAGCAGGGTCGGGCCTGGTTAGTACTTGGATGGGAGACCGCCTGGGAATACTGGTGCTGTAGGCTTTTAAAAAAATAAAAAATAAAAAAAAACAATTATACAGAAGTGCTCCCTCATCTATAACATTACTCCGGTGTTGTCAGCATTATAATCAGGCCCTTTTTGTATTTTTTCCTGGATCCAACCTAAATTATGTATTTGCTTAATAGTCTTGTCTCAGGTCACCTTTAATCTGTTACTAGAGTTGTTAGGTCAGAAGCGGGGCCCTGGCATTCCTGACTGGCCAACCTTGCCACCCGTCCTCCACGGGCCTTTAAAGAGACAAGTGGAAAAGGAGAAAGGAGATCTCTTCAGTTGGTCACGCTGGGGAGAGGGACAAACAGGCCGGTGACTACCAAGTCTGTCCTCGGAATCTTGACAGGAGGGTTAGGTTTAGATGGAAGGCCAAAGGTATGCACAAACGGACAATGCTGGTCAAGGTATGGCCCTGCC